CTGTAATCCCAGCTATCCAGGAGGCTTGAACCTGGGAGGTTCTCACAGAAGAATCACTTGAACCTGGGAGGCAGAGGTTACAGTGAGTTGAGATTGCACCACTGCACTCCAGCCTGGGTGACAGAGTGAAACTCGGTCTCAAAAAACCAAAACAAAACAGATTAGTGGCAGGGCATGGTGGCTCATGCCTGTAGTTCCAGCATTTTGAGAGGCCAAGACAGGCGGATTGCTTGAGCTCTCGTGTTTGGGACCATCCTGGCCATGATGGTGAAACCCATCTCTACAAAAATTAGCTGGGCATGGTGGCACACACCTGTAGTCTCAGGTACTCGGGAGGCTGAGGAAGGAGAATTGCTTGAGCCAGAAGTTACAATGAGCCGAGATCGTACCACTGTACTCCTAGCCTGGGTGACAAGAGCGAGACCCTGTCTCAAAAATTAAAAAAAAAAACAAAAACAGATTAGCTATTAGCTATTAGGTGAGGGCTATAAAGAGAAAACTTTACTACTCCAACTGGTTAGAGTTAAAAATGGTTAAAAAAATTTTTTTTTATTTGCAAGTCACTGACCTTGCCTGGAAATATTAGTCTTCCTCAGTTCCCTGAAATACAGCCCACCAGATAAACACCATGAGCCAATAACCATGTCAGTATGTGGCAGCCCAAAGGGCCAAAAGCACCTGTGGGGATGAAAAGGCTACTGATTAGAGCAGAATAACTGAAGCTATGTAGCTGCCACAGTAAATGTAACGCCACCACTAGGCTCCAGGAATCCCATCTCAGGCTGAGCAAGTTTTATCACTTCTGCTGCTGCTTCTTCCTTTTCTTACAGGTGTTAACAAGGGGAAAAAAAAACACAGGGATAGATTGAGCAACTCTAAGGCACACAACTGTTCCATCAGATTTGTAAGAAGAAAGAAAAAGAAAAGGAGGTGTCAGATACATATGCTTTAAGGTAGGCATGAGGGTGGAGAAGGGGGAGGACTTTTGCATATAAAGACACAACTAGTGAATATGGCAAATGGTGAAATGCGCTGCCAATTGGAAAGCGACTGTTTGAACACTGAATGAGGTTTCAGATACCAATGGCTTGACTGGGTTCCTCTATTGCTGAATTATGAACTGAGAATCTCAGGGGATCCAGAACTTAAAAGGAGGGAATATCAAGCAGTTTGGGTCCATGGAAGTTGGCCTATTCTGAAACAAACTGAAAATGGCTAATTTATGAGGACTTTAAAGTAACGTATTAGAAGAATGACCATTGTATGAGAGGGCAGGGGAAATTCTGCTTTGATAATTTGACAGTTCAAAATGAACACTGCATTTCCCCTAATTCAATCTTGGTTTCCTTTGGCTAAATGTTTCCTTTCTTTACTACCCTCTTCACAAATCAGATGAAGCGCTGTTTAGCACTAACTCACTGGTCCTAAAAATAACTGGAGCTAAACAAAAAGGTCATTCTCGCTGGCATGAACAATCTTCCAGGTAGCTGCTGTGCAATGCCCCCAGCAGTAAGCTGAGTGTTGCTGATGTACTGAACAGAGATAGGAGCCCAGAGGGCAGTGCTTGGATTCCACAAAGGTTGCAAGGCCCTCTGAGACTCAACATCAAGGGATTCTAAACTTAGAACTACAGGGGTTTGGTACGAGGTCTACATCAAAACCACTGGAGAATAAAGCAGATCCAGAGAAATACTGGCCAAGGAAGCCTCACAAACCACATGAAATAACATGAGAGGCTAGTGAATTCCTCAAGAAAAGAGAAAATATATTTTTAAACTATGCTGAGAGAAAGCTGATTTGGTATCTCAACTCCCAGCCAAGTAGCCTCCTTGACTGTTCCCTCTGTCTGCATGGTTAGCACATACCAGGAGCAGGCACTGGGAGCTCTCATGGGAAGATATAAGCTCAGATACACATTTGGAGGACGGCTTGTACTTTCATTTCTGTGACTTTCTTACATCACCTCAATTTATAACACAAAAGTAAATGAGCATGAGAAATTTAAAAAAATAAATCTGGAGCTAGGCGTGGTGGCTCACGCCTGCAATCCCAACACTTTGGGAGGATGGGCGGGGGAGCGGATCACTTGAGGTCAGGAGTTTGAGACCAGCCTGGTCAACATGGTGAAATTCCATCTCTACCAAAAATACAAAAATTAGGCCAGGTATAGTGGCTCATGCCTATAATCCCAGCCTGGACCACACAGTGAAACCCCATCTCTACTAAAATACAAAAAATTAGCCAGGCATAGGGGCATGTGCCTGTAGTCCCAGCTATTCAGGAGACTGAGGCAGGAGAATTGCTAGAACCCGGGAAGCAGAAGTTGCAGTGAGCCGAGATTGCGCCACGGCACTCCAGCCTGGGCAAAAGAGTGAGACTTCATCTTTAAAAAAAAAAAAAAATTAGTCAAGCTAAGGAACGAGAATTGTTTGAACCCAGGAGACAGAGGTTGCAGTGAGCCAAGACAGGGTCTTATTCTATTGCCCAAGTGTTGTACAGTGGTGTGATCACAGTTGACTGCAGCCTCCGCTGGTTGGAGGATCACTTGATCCCCCAACCCCAGTCTTTCAAGTGACTGGGACCACAGGTATGCATCACCACGCCCAGGTAATTTTGTAAAGACAGGATCTCACTGTATTGCCCAGGCTGGTGTTGAACTCTCAGGCCCAAGCAATCCTCCTCCCTAAGTTTTGGGAGTATGGGTATAAGTCTCTGTGCCTCAGTCTCCCTAGTAGCTGGGACTACAGGTGTGTGCCATTGAGCCCAACAGAGTTTTTTAAGCTATAGGTTATCATCTATCAGGTTACAGCATCAACTTACTGGGTTGCTACTAACATTTTCAAACACTGAAGTCAAAGAAAGAGGAAATTATCAGTACATATTGCAGAAAGTAAAAGTGATGTTTCATGAAACTTATATTTCAAATGTTTATGTGTATATATATATATGTACTGGGTCCTGAAAGAAAATTTACATCTTACAGTGAATTAAAATATAAAAAAGTGGCCAGGCATAGAGGCTCATGCCTGTAATCCCAGCACTTTAGGAGGCTAAGCCAGGTGGATCACTGAGGTAAGGAGTTGTAGACCACCCTGGCAAACATGGTAAAACCCTGTCTCTACTAAAATTACAAAAATTAGCCAGGTGTGGTGGTGGGTGCCTGTAGTCCCAGCTACTCTGTAGGCTCAGGTAGGAGAACCACTTGAACCCCCAGGAGGCAGAGGTTGCAGTGAGCTGAGAAGGCACTGCTGTACTCCTGCCTGGGTGACAGAGTAAGACTCAGTCTCAAAAAATAAAAAAGAAAAGAAAAAGAAAAAATACACATACATATACACATATAAGTTTGAAACCATTGAGCTATTGGAAACTTGAAGGAACCAGACCAAAACTGTATACTACAGAGAGACTGTCTATGGATGGATGAAATACTTGTGAACTGTCAAGAAGTTCACGGGTCAACTGAACATGACACAGTTAATATACAAAGATTACTGCCTGAGTTACTATCAGAGCTATTCAAAAACCCTCACATTATCCTGGAGCTAAGAAATGTGAACCTCCAGTTTGAAAACACAGGAAACCACCACTGAAACTGAGCTGAGAGAGAATGGGGGCTTGTTACATAGCCCCCTCTAGCATTTATCAAGATGAAAGAAATACGGACTGTGGAAGGAAATGAGATGACAGTTTCTACTTCTAAAGTGTCACAGGCCATGGCCACAACCAAAAGACTCATTCTTTGACTGAAAAACTAAGCCTCTTAGAAGGGTAGATGAAGTGGTTATAAGAAAGAAGGAAAAAAGAAACCACTCTCCCAGGTCCTGCCAAACTAGCCCATCCTTCCTGGCACAGTTAGCCAAGGGTCAAATTCTGAGCATGGCTGAATTATTTTACCCCTACCCACTTCTGACCCTGACATAATCATATTCCCATTAAGTCTAATCAAATAGCCCAGTCCTAATATCCAGTAGGAAAGAAAGCACAGACCAAGAGAGAAGTTTTTCCTAAGTGGATATATAAAGTCTTAGACAATATTATATCTTATGAGATGGAACAGGACCTGTGTTCTCTTTGGGAGTTTATGAGAGAAACTAAGATACTCTTTAAATAATGGGATCTCCATGTATCTTTACATTGAGCCAGACCTGTCCTCACATTCCCACGTTCCTTATAAAGTAGGAGAAATGATCTGTCCCCTCTGTACTACTTTGTAAATGAATGGGAAGGTGTAAGGAAGAACCCACAAAATTCTTCAGTTGGTCTCAATACTAATAAAAAGAACATTACTCATCCATCATCTTATCATTCCTTTTAGAAAGAGGTAACTAGAGACAATTCCAGCAATATCTTCCTGTTAAGAAATGAGAAAGACCAGGCATGGTGGCTCATGCCTGTAATCTCAGCATTTTGGGAGGCTGAGATTACAGGTAGATCACCTGAGGTCAGGAGTTCAAGACCAGCCTGGCCAACATGGTAAAATCCTGTCTCTACTAAAAATACAAAAATTAGCTGGTGTGGTGATGTACGTCTGTAATCCCAGCTACTTGGCCAGCTGGGGCAGGAGAATTGCTTGAACTCGGAGGCAGAGGTTGCAGTAAGCTGAGATTGCGCCACTGCACTCCAGCCTGGGCAACAGGTGAGACTCTGTCTCAAAAAAAGAAAGAAAGAAATGAGAAAGGATTTCTAACTTTGATTACAATTATTCTGTGAAAGCATGCTGAGATACAAGTATCACATGTTCCTTTTATTTTAGAAATGGAGATAAGGAAGTGAGGAGACAAGAAAATTACTCAGGGCCTTGCGGCATGGTAAGGAAAGGCAAGGATGGGTGTTGCTGCAGCCTTGTTTTTCAACTTCCTATATTACGCTCCTCTGACTCCACTAGCCACTGCTGCTCAGAGTTCAGACTATAGAGCATCAAATTACTTTTCTAGAAAGTCAAAATAAAAGGAAAGCTGGAATATATGTATACAATTGGTATCGAAGTATGAGATTGGTACCTTTAAGAGAGCATGGTGCATCGTTACCTCCAGTTCTGCTAAAACATGAGCAGCATCCTCATTGTCCTCTTGGACTTCCAGATCCTCCTCAGGGATGGTCTCCCAGTTGCCCTGGTGAGCAACCAGCGTATGCACTAGTTCATACTGTCCAGGGAGCGCCAGGCTGACCCGAGTCTGAGTCCCATAGGTGAAGCGGAGGCGCCGAAGCTTACAGCTCTCCTCACTGCCCAGCTTGGTGGTGGGAAGCACCTGCACTCCCAACAGCAGGTTCAACAGCTGGCGCTTGACATTACAATCCTGGCCGAGGATCAGTATGCAAGGGAGGCAGTCCACAATCTGCTGGAGGTACTTCTCTTCATTAGGCGGGAAGGAAATGCAGCTCAGCTGGCCTGGTTGGGGAAGGGGAGAGTGGAGGAAGAGAAAGGAGTGGAGAGAAAGGAGTGAGGAAGGGTAGAGAGACTCACACAGAGATCCCACGAGGATGTCAGGGTCCTAGAGGAGAAATTTCTAGAAATCTTGGTTGAAGAAGATACCAGGGGAAAAACCCCAGTGAGAAAGGGCTCTTCACATATCAAACAGAATTCCCTTCCCTAGCTTATTCCCCAGGAACAAGCTGTTATTTCTACCCAGAAACGTGGGCATGACCTCATCTTCCCTCCCTACTCCTTTTTCATTCAGTGAAAGGACAGCCTAAGGAGTTTACAAGGACTCCATCACAAACATCAAGATTATTAAAATAACAAAGCTGGAAAAAACTATACTAATTGAGATATGAGCCCAAGGAGAAACATACTTGAATGTGTCAAAATTAAACCCTTCCTTCTGACAGAAGACCTAATACTTGAACACAGATTACAGTCATGTGTCGCTTAACAACAGGCATACATTGTGAGAAATGCATCATCAAGCCATTTTGTCATTGTGTGAACATCAGAGTGTATTTACACAAATCTAGGTGGTGTAGGTATAGCCTATGCACACCTAGGCTATAGGATGTAGCCTACTGCTCCTAGGCTACAAACCTGTACAGCATGTTACTGTACTGAATACTAGAGACAGCTATAACACAATGGTAAGTACTTGTGTATCTAAACGTATCTAAACATAGAATAGGTATGCTAAAAATACTGTACCTTTGTTGACCTAGGTGCCATCATGCAGCACATGATACAGTACTGCAGAGCCTTTTTAAATTCTCTACCATATACGGTTTAGCTTATGATCTTCATTATGACTTATTTTACATCTAAATGTATGAGCTAATCTGTAGATACACATATAGAAAATGAAATGTTATTCAAGTTTGCATAAGCTCTAGAATCTTTTCCAGTTCATCTCTCTGATAGCTGGTGACAACATCCCAGCTGCCAAGTCATCTGTTTCCTTAAAACACTGGGTGCTCAATTCACATCAGTACTCCTAATCAAATCACATTCCTTCTGTTTATGGGAGACAAGACCCTAAATAGGACAAAGGGAAAGAACTGCCTATTAGGATAAAATCAAGGCAAATCTAGAAAGAGATGTGATTTATCTCAAAGACATTCTCCTCGATGGACATCCCAATTACCCTGATTTGACCATTACACATTGTTACCCACATATTGAAATACCACAGGTATCCTATAAATACATACAAATACTAAATGTCAATTAAAAAATGTTTTTCACTGATCTGATGCTTTTGTACAAAAAATAATAAAAAATAAAAATCTAAAAATTAAAAATAAAAAACTTCTCCTTTCAGGGCAACCACTACTAATCTAAATGGATAATTTCCCCAAACACATTCAAATAATGTTCAAGACAGAACAAGCTTCCTAAAGAAAGACAATCTCAGTTTGGGAAAAATAACCTGGAATTAGTTCACTAAAACTCTCATTCTGAACTACATCACTTCCTTATTCCTTCAGTATCAGTGTTTGCCTGTCTCTACGATTCAGGCAATTTCTGCATTTGTTCAGAAAAGCACAGACACACTGTTCTTAGGCTGCAAAAAGGGAAATCATTGAAGAAAACACATAGATCATAATTGAAATTTTGGGTGGCACTAACTGAAACAGTATTTGCTTTAGTCACTTAACCATGAGCTGCATTAAATTATGTGTAGGCCATTTTAGTTTGTTTCCGGAATTGAAGCAAGAGGCCTGAATCAATTAAGAGGTGGTTCTGCTTCAGAGTCAACCTACCCAGCTACGATTTCAAATCCCCAAGCATCCTTCTCTTACACAAACAGTAATATCAAAAGGGTTAAAAAGAGGTCTGTGGGCCGGGCGCGGTGGCTCAAGCTTGTAATCCCAGCACTTTGGGAGGCCGAGGCGGGTGGATCACGAGGTCGAGAGATCAAGACTATCCTGGTCAACATGGTGAAACCCCGTCTCTACTAAAAATACAAAAAATTAGCTGGGCATGGTGGCACGTGCCTGTAATCCCAGCTACTCAGGAGGCTGAGGCAGGAGAATTGCCTGAACCCAGGAGGCAGAGGTTGCGGTGAGCCGAGATCGCGCCATTGCACTCCAGCCTGGGTAACAAGAGCGAAACTCCGTCTCAAAAAAAAAAAAAAAAAAAAAAAAAAAAAAAAAAGAGGTCTGTGTTCATGCAGACCCCTCTGTGCATTCCATTAGGGCCCTTCCTTTCATGTCTGTCTACAAGGATATCACCCTGGCCTGCACATATGTATCAGCAACACCAGACACTCAAAACAAGCAAATCTACTCTCCTGGGAAAGAGACGAATGCCTTTCAAAAAGCAAACAGAGTTAACTAAGTATCTAATTCTGTGTGAGGGTATTTACTAAATACAATAGTGTTAACACCAGACAACTAGTCTACTCTTTTGATCTTCAACCTAAAAGCAAGAGGACACAGCCAATAGCTTGTGTGGCCACTTAACAAGTAGCAATAGGCCAGTCCTGAGTTCCTTCACACCTTATTCACAACTACAAAACACTTACCATGGTTTATTCTAATTACATGTTTATAATCATCAAAAGCAGGAAGAACCATCCTATTTCATCCTCAACACCCAACACAATGCCTGACACATACTAAGGACTTAATGTTATACATTTGTTTGTTCTGTCTGAGAATCCATTTAGTGGGGAGAACTATCTATAAAAGGCTGTAAGCAAATCCACTGAGTATTTTGAAAAGTCCAGTGTCATGATGAATAGTTTAAGAGCACTCATCACTCCTAAAAACCTCCTTCATGTGGATAAAAGAATAGGACCCTTCACAGGGTGCAGTAGCTCATGCCTGTAATCCCAGCAGTTTGGGAGGCAGAGGCAGGCGGATCACCTGAGGTCAGGAGTTTGAAACCAGCCTAGCCAACATAGCGAAACCCTGTCTCTACTAAAAATACAAAAAATTAACTGCACATGGTTGTGGGCGCCTGTAATTCCAGCTACTCTGGAGGTTGAGGCAGGAGAATCGCTTGAATCCGGGAGGTGGAAGTTGTAGTGAGCTGAGATCACATCACTGCACTTCAGCCTGGGCAACAAAGCAAGACTCTGATTCTAAAAAAAAAAAAAAAAAAAAAAAAAAAAAAAGGACCCTTCCATTCATCTTGCAGAATTTAACTACCGTAGTCTCAGCTTGAGCAGTGAAAAGTCCAGCCAGACTGTCTTCATCCTCATCTATATACACTTCTCAGCTTTCTTCTATTCCCAGTCCTCCCCAGATTTTCATGTAAGTGTCTACACGTTAATTCATACTGACAATCTTTAAATTCCTATAATAAAAATAGTTTCATCACAAAAGACCAACAAACCTGAATAACCTTTGTTACTGCTACTAGCAGGAGAATGGATAATAGAGAAGAAAACCAACTAAATCACTTTTCAGGACCAGAGGCAAGGCCCCTGCACCTCTGAGACAAAGTGTCAACTACAGCATAGCCAATGAAACAGGCTGCATCAGCCAAAGCACAGCAGACACACCCCATTATTCATCTGACCCAAATAATCACCTCCCCCGTCCATCTCCCCTACAAAAGTTCACTGTAAATAAACTTGCTACTGTCAAAACAACCAAAGATCAGTGCAATGGGAATGGAGGCTGAAGCTGAGCCCAGTACTCTGTTAGAAGTCTATATGCAAACATCACTGTTTTCCAACATGTCACTATCCAAGCCCTTTGCTTCTCCCACTAAATCTTTAGCTTCTTCATCCATCTGACATCTCTACCAGACTTGAATAAGGGCATGGAGAGAAATGAAGTTGAAAGCAGATGGTTTTACTCCTGGATTCTCAGCACACTGCTCAGTGATGTGGAGTGCACTATGGAAGTGGGAACAGCACGAGAAAGAACAGGCTTTGCCACTCTGAATAGCTCTGTGACCTTAGCGATCCACTAGACCTTTCTAAGCCTTGAAATGCTCATCGGTAAACGGAGGGGGGTGGACTTGGATTAGATCATCTTTAACATGCTTTCCAGTTCTAAAATGCCAGGTTTTAACTGCTGAAAGAACAATGATGTGAGGGGGATGGGTGGTTGGTCTGGTTGTTTTTAGTTTATTTTAAATTATATGTGAATTTAATTATGCGCTCGTCCCCTGGACCACTATAACTGCAGATCAAAAAGTAGACGGAACTAGCCTGCAGCTCTGAGGACCTACAGTGCTGTCTTCGCAGTTCTCTAAAGAGATTTAAAAGCTGTAGAATGACAGTAGGAGGGAGGAAGAAAACCTGTTTCAGAGCTGAAGCAGCTGCCTCACTGACAGTTAAAGGACTTCCAAGTTAATCGAGTTTTCTTTTGTAATTAATACAACAGCATCTGCATACGGGCTGCCAGAAGGTAACAGCATGGCTTCTCAGCTGACGCACATTAACCCTGCCAACTCTGGCTGAAGGAAAATTCACATCAAATTGTCTTAAGTGCAAACCAAGGCTTTTGCTGCTGTTGTTCTTGGTGGTGGTTCTCAAATACACATTGTGATTTTTGATTACTTCTGAACAAAAGTTTCAAGCTAGGTGGAAGAGAAGAACAACTAAAGCAGCAACCCATTTTGGTTTTTGTTTTAGGTAACATCTGTCGAGCCCTTTCTATGTATTGATCACTTTATTTGCCTCGTCTCATTTAATGCTCATAATTCTACCAGACAAGGACTATTACTAACTCCATTTAAAAATGAAGAAATGCAGGCCAGGCGCAGTGGCTCATGCCTGTAATCCCAGCACTTTGGGAGGCCAAGGCTGGCGTATCACCTGAGGTCAGGAGTTCAAAAATCACCCTGGCCAACATGGTGAAACCCCCTCTCTTAAAAAAAAAAAAAAAAAAAAAAAAAAAAAATGAGGAAATGGACCAGGCATGGTGGCTCAAGCCTATAATCCCAGCACTTTGAAAGGCCGACATGGGTGGATGGCTTGAGCTCAGAAGTGCAAGACCAGCCTG